GCGGTGGCTGGGAGCAGCCACTGCACTCCAGTCTGGGCGACAGAGTGAGACTCCAACTCAAAAAAAACAGTAGCACCCACCTCTCAGGTTGATTGTGAGAATGAAACAAGCTGATATTTCTAAGGCGCTTAAAGCAGGGCTGGAAGATGATGAGTGCTGTATTCGTTTCCTCTGCACGTCTCCCGAGTGCCCACTCCATGCCAGGCACCAAGGGTACTGTGCGAATAAACAGCAAAAAGGCCCTGCGCTCACAGGACTGACCTCCCAGTCAGGGAGACTGAAAATAGGCGTGAGGAACAAGTGAAATATGGATCGTATGTTGGAAAAGGATGATGGTTAAGGAGAGGAGTTAGGTCAGGAAGGGGGGCCCGTCATGTGGGTGGCATTTCAGCAAGCCAGGGAAGGCCTCCCTGAGAAAATGACATGTGAGCGAAGGAATCTGGAGGCATGGCAGGCCTAGCAGAGGGAACCGCATGTGCAAAGGCCCTGAGGTGGGACTGCCTGGCATGTTCAGGGAACAGTGAGGAGCCCAGTGTGGCCAGAGTGGCATGAGGAAATCAATGAGAAGGAAGACATGGAGTCAGAGAGGGAACTGGGGCAGATTGGGGGTGAGCCAGACAGGTAAGGCCTCGTGGGCCACATAAGGAATTGGCTTTTGCCAGAAGCAAGACGGAAGCCATGGAGATTCTAGAGCAGAGGAGGGATGGGGTCTGACTTAAGTCTGACTTGCATTTTACGCTGTAGGTGTTAGCTATTGTTATAACACTGTGACTGTGTTACCGGCTGTTGCTACCCCATCATGTGCCCCATAAACCTCATCACATTTGATGACCACAAGAGCCGGGGAGGTGGGAGGAGGAAGATCTCATTTTTGTCCAAGAGGAAACTAAAGCCTCAGAGCATTGACTGGACCCAGGGCCCACAGCTGGAGAGGAGGGAGAGAGCCCAGCCCGGCCCCTACACTGCCATTTCCGCCATCAAAACAAGGATATGGCCATACCTACCACCGAGGGTGGCAGTGAGGATTAAATGAAATGGTGGGAGGAACGTGCTGCGAACAGTTCCTGGCTTGTAGTAAGCCTTCAAGAAATCTCAGTCTTTAGACTGTTTCTTAGTGATTTTTTTTTGAGTTGGAGTCTCACTCTGTCACCCAGACTGGAGTGCAGTGGCACACTCCCGGCCACCGCACCCTCGACCTGCTGGGTTCCGGCGATCCTTCTGCCTCAGCCTTCCAAGTAGCTGGAACTACAGGTGCGCGCTACCACGCCCGGCTAATTTTTGATTTATTGTAGAGATGAGGTCTCGCCAAGTTGCCCAGGTGGGTCTCGAACCCACGGGCTCAGGCAATCCACTCACCTCAGCCTCCCAAAATGCTGGGATTACAGGCTGAGCCACGGAGCCTGGCTGGTAGTGATTTTATTAGTCAGCTCAAGTCGCCATAACAAAATGTCACAGCCTCAGTGGCTCACACAACAGTTCTGGAGACTGGGAAGTCCAAGATCAAGGCATCAGCAGGTTTCCCATGAAGCCTCTCTCCATGGTTTGCAGATGGTGCCTTCTCGCTGTGTCTTCACATGGCCTTTTCTCTGTGTACTCATCCCTGGCATCTCTTCACCCTCTTGTAAGGACATGAGTCCTATTAGATCAGGGCCCCACCCTGAAGACCCCATTTAACCTCACTGACCTTATTATCTTAAAAGAACCTATCTCCAAACACAGTCACATTGAGGGTTAAGGCTTCCACGTATGAATTTGGGGAAGACACAATTCAGTCCATAACCATGATGATGATTCATTCTCTTTCTCTCTCTCTCTCTCTCTCTTTCTCTCTCTCTCTCTCTCTCTCTCTCTCTCTCGCTCGCTCTCTCTTTCTTTCTCTCTCTCTCTTTCTCTCTCTCTCTCTCATCTCTTTACTGCAGGACTGACCGACAGAGAATACGAATATGCAGCTGAACTACAGGCAACTATCCTGCCAGCCCAAGAGGTGACGCCAGAAAGGGTGGGAAGGGAATCTTGGGTCTGGGAACAGCATGATATTCCTGGGCAGGGGCTCCATAGGAAGCCTCCTCCCTCTTGGCTTCCTGGTCATCTGTCTGTGGGGTGATCCCCTCTTGTGGAGAGCCCCAGGGACAGACTTTCTCTCCTCTGGACAGCTCCACCCCATTCTTCCCAGCTCATCAAATCCCTGGAAACCACTTAAATAAGCAGTCTATATTTTGTGAAGGGCTACGCGAAAAAGAAACTCATGAAAGTAGCTCAAGAAAAAGAAAACAAAGGAAGAGTTTAATATAAGGATCCAGGAGATTTTCCAGCAATCCAAAGTTGTATCAGTCAGCATTTTCTGTGTATCAAAATACTTCCCAAAACGTAACAGCTTGAAACCATAACCATTTATAAACTTGCATTTCTGTGGGTGATCACTGTGGACTGGGCTCCGCGGGGTGGTTCTTCTGTCTCTGCCGGGCTCATCCCTGCACCTGGGGTCAGTTGGCAGATTGCCTAGTGGCTGCCTGGACTAGGATAGCTTCACAGCTGGGATAACTGACTGCTCCCCATGTCACCTCTCATCCTCCAGCAGGGTGACCCAAGTTTTTTCGCATGGCAGAGGCAGGATTCCAAGAGCGAGAGGGGAAGGGGCCAGGCCCCTAAAGACCCAAGCTCAGAATTGGCACGCTATCACTTCTGTTGGCCAGAGCAAGCCCCATAGCTGGTTCGGATTCAAGGGGTGAGAAATTGACACCATCTCTTGCTGGGAGGGGAAGAACCTGTGGCCCTTGTTTGCAATCTACCAATAAAGGTGGGAGTGTGTGACTGCCTCCCTGAGCCTCCCCCCCCACCTTACGATTGTCTTCTCGCTGCACATGAAATTCAGTTCACCATCTCTCTCTGCAGGTGAGCGCTTGATGCTACTCCATCCACCTGGAAAAAGACACGGTCCCATAGCTTCCAAGTCCACAATACTTCTGTTCAAAGGAACAGCCCTACTTACTAGGCTCCTTTTGTCCTGTTTCTGAGACGCCCGAAGAAAGCACCTGATGGGCTCGCTGGGGTCAGGTGCCATCCGTGGTCCCCTTGCTGTGGCCAGGATGGGGACAGGGACACGTTGTACAAGCAGAGCTCCGAGAGCTCAGCCCTATCTAGGGAGGACTCAGTACCCCCAAAACTGGGAGAAGTTTTGCTTATAAGCTGGGAAGACCCCAGAGTATATCTTCTACACATCCAGCTTATTTTTATTCCTTTTCAAAAAGAAATTGTGAATGGTACCTCATGAAGGCTCTCTTCACGAGACGTTGGGGAGGTGCTCCCCGGAAATTCATGATGCATTTATGAATAAGATTGACCATTCTGCTCTGAGCTGTTCAGATTGAATACCCCTTCGTGGGAGGGTCTTGACAGATGGCACGCTCTGGGAACAAGTACAGATGAAACTCCTCTGGGGATACATCTCACTTCTGAGGAATATTCATTGCTTCTGTGACCAACACAAAGCCGCCAAAGGTGACATTATGGTCAGCAATAATAGTAGCCGACCTGAGTTCAAGTCATGTCTGTGGAGGCCTGTCCGGGTGCTGGTTATGGACTGGGTACCCTATGCATTGAGGAAAGGAGCGTGTACCCCCGTTGTACAGACAAAGCATGTGAGGCTCAGAGAGTTGTTAAGGGTCTTGTCCAGACCAAGCTGCCTAGCTCTGAAATCCCATGTCCCATCACCCCACTGCCCTCTGGATCTCTCCCTGAAACCAGAGCCTCTCCCCTTCTCCATGTTGGGTAGATGTCACTGTGCTCATGTACAGAGGATTGAAGGGAGGCTCAGAGAGTGGAAGCGGCTTGCCCAAGATCACACAGCCACCGGTGTTGCCAACTCAAGTCTGCCTGAGTCTGAAGCCCAGGGCTCTCCAACCAAACTCCAGGTGATGGAAATGTCCCATCTCCTCTCTGCCCAATCAGTACTGTCCAAGACACATGACTGCTGAGGCCTGAGATGGGACTGGCGCCACTGAGAAACTGGATTTTTAAATTTTTATTTACTTTTATTCTGGAGGGGGTTGTTGGGGTCTCTGGCGCCCAGGCTGGAGAGCAGTGGCACAATCACAGACCTCCTGGGCTCAGGCGATCCTTCTGCCTCATCCTCCTGAGTAGTTGGGACTACAGGTGTACACCACTACACCCGGCTAATTTTTTTAGGTTTTTTTTTTTTTTTAGAGATGAGATCTCACCGTGTTACCCAGGCTGGTCTTGAACTCCAGGGCTCAAGTGACCTTCCAGCCTTGGCCTCCCAGAGTTCCGGGGTTACAGGTATGAGCCACCACACTGAGCCCTTATTTACTTTTAATTAATTTTAATTGTAATATATATGTCTGCCTGAGACTGGTGGCTATTGTGCTAGATGGCCCGGCTCTAAATCCTAATTGTTAAAATTAAGAAGTCAACCTGGCCCAGTGGCTCAGCCTGTAATCCCAGCACTTTGGGAGGCCAAGGCAAGGGGATTGCCTGAGCCCAGGGGTTCGAGACCAACCTGGGCAACTTGGTGAGACCTCCTCTCTACAATACACCCCAAAAACTAGCCGGGCATGGTGGCGTGCGTCTGTAGTTCCAGCTACTTGGAAGGCCCAGGCAGAAGGATCACCTAACCCCAGCAGGTCGAGGCTGTGGTGGCCACGAGCGTGCCACTGCACTCCAGCCTAGGCAACAAGAATAAGACTCCAACTCCAGAAAAGTAATAAAATAAAATTTGAAAGTCTCCCAGCACCCATATGAGTACAATGCTGATTCTGCGACCATCCTGAGTGGGCTTGTCCTGGTCTGACCAGGGGTCCAGACTGGTTCAGAAGCCCCTGAGATCCAACAGGCCCCTTTCCACCCCAGGCTTCCTACTTCACTCCCCGGCAACTTCCCTCCCCTGCCAGAGGAGAAGTTAGTCATTTCCTGCCTTGGTGGTGACAGGGAGGGAGCAGGCTCCTTCCATCGGAGCCCGGCTATATCTCAAAGGTGACAGACGCGGACACCACCTTGGCCAGCAGCTGTACCCACAGGCCAAGGAACAGCTGAGAATGAAATGGTGTGGATTCCCTCAAAGACACCTTCTGGGGGCCCTTATTTACTTTTAATTAATTTTCTTTTTTTTTTTTTTGAGTTGGAGTCTCACTCTGTCGCCCAGACTGGAGTGCCGTGGCCGTTCCTGGCCACCGCAGCCTCGACCTGCTGGGCTCTGGCGATCCTTCCACCTCAGCCTTCCGAGTAGCCGGAATTACAGGCATGCACTACCACGCCCGGCTGATTTTTTGATTTATTGTAGAGATGAGGTCTCGCTGCCCAGGCGGGTCTCGAACCCACGGGTTCAGGCAATCCACTCACCTCAGCCTCCCAAAGACACGGGATTACAAGCTGAGTGAATATATCTGCCTGAGGCCGGTGGCTATTGTATTAGATGGCCCAGCTCTGACCACCCTGTTATACATTCAGCCCCTGTTAAGCTCTCATCCTGTGTTCTCTGTTATGCCACTTTTCACATTATGTTGGTCTATATTTTCTTATGTGATTATTTAACATGTATCTTTGTACCCCCTAAAGCTATTAAAATTTTTAAAAAAAAGCCAGACGTGGTGGCTCATACCTATAATCCCAGCACTTTGGGAGGCCGAGGTGAGAGGATTGCCTGATCCCATGGTTTCAAGACCAACCTGGGCAACATGATGAGATCGCATCCCTACAATAAATCCAGAAAAATTAGCTGGGCGTGGTAGCACATGCCTGTAGTCCAACTACTTGGGAGGCTGAGGCAGTAGGATCGCCTGAGCCCAGCAGGTGGAGGCTGTGGTGGCCATGAGCGTGTCACTGCACTCCAGCCTGGACGACAGAGTGAGACTTCAACTCAAATAATAATAATAATAATACAACATATAATAATACACTTCCACTTTGCATACAGTAGGTGCTCAATAAATGTGTGTTGAATGAATGAATGAAAGACTACAACCACACCACTGGGAAAACACAAAGGCTCAAAAATGAAAGCATCGGCCACAGTGGTTCATGCTTATAATCCCAGCACTTTGGGAGGCTGAGGCAGGAGGCTCCCTTGAGCCTAGGAGTTCGAGCCCAACCTGGGCAACAGTGTGAGATCTCTCTGCAAAAAAGCAGCCAGGCGCGGTGGTGGCGCCTGTAGTCCCAGCTACCCAGGAAGCTGAGGTGGGAGGATCACCTGAGCCTCAGAGGTCGAGGCTGCGGTGAGCTGTGATCTTGCCACTGCACTGCAGGCTGGGGTAACAGAGTGAGACCCAGGCTCAAAAAAAAAAAAAGAAAGCATCGATTGAGTCACAGACCCGTCTCCCAGCAAGAGTTTAACAGGAATAACCCCATCCCACCTCCTCTCACTCTCGCAGACAGAAAAATGAGTCATGCATCCTGGTGCCCCTGCCCTGACCCTGCGCGGAAGGCGCATGACTGTGACCATCTCACTGCAAGAACAGTGCAATCCGTGGGCAGTTGTGGGAGGGGTCGCCCTCGGGATCCTGGCGCCCATTCTCTCTCCTGCGCTCACAGAATCTTCCATTTGTAGCTGGGCACACGGTATCCAGGAAGGGACAGAAAAATGACTTTTTCAGTTTCCCCTGACACGAGGCATGGCCATGTGACGACATCCTGGTCAATCAGATGTGAGGACTGTTGTGTGTGACTTGTGGAACATGTCCCCAAAGGAAGGAGGCACTCTTTTCTTCGTCCAACTGACAGGAATGGGGATGTGATGGCTAGAACTGCGCAGCCGTCATGGATCATGAGGTGAATGTCACATGTAGAGGATGACAGAGTGACAAGTCAGAGGCGTGCTGAGCCCAGCTTGTGCCAGTTCATGAGATTGTGCACATCTCTTTCTAACCCCACACTCAATGATGATATGTCAGTAGCTTGAAATCAACTACAAACTGGGCTCGGTGGCTCAGCCTGTAATCCCG